ACCCCCCCCCCCCCCCCCCCCCCCCCCCCCCCCCCGCCCCCGCTGTATTCACTTTCTAAGAGATGCGAAGCTACTCAGAAGCAGTCCGAGTATTTGGACTAGCTGTATTTTTTCAGTTACACAACTTTCCCGCTTGCTTTGACCAGCGCTCCGTTGCCTGCTGGTCACCATGTTGGCAGTGCCGGCATTCGATTCATCGCCTCCAATTCGAGTAATCGAATCTCTTAAAACTGCTTATTCAAAATTCTTTTTTATAAATTTTGCATATTTTGACCAGGGTGTTTTGTTATTTCTTTCTTTCACTATGCTTATTGCATGGAGGCTCACTGTATTTATTAAAAAATTTGAGCCGTTCCTGAGCTCCATTCGTTTCTCTTTTTTTCTTTTTTGAAGTGGTGTTTCTTGTTTTCCATTTGCACTAATCCCCGTTGTTTTGCAGGTGCTTGGTGAGCTGGCAAAAAGTGACAGCAAACATTTTTTGTTACTATTCCGGGACCAGAAATGCCGTTATTTGGGTGCATATAGTTGGGATCAGCAATCGGACACGGCTCATCGTATTCACGGGCGTGGTCCAAATATCTGCCATGAATCGATGATGCATCTCATGTTCAAGTACGTATTTATTTTTTGAGCAGATTCTGCTGGTGAATTTAATTTTTTTTTTTTTTTATGAATTCTGAGGCTTACTGGCGAACTTGACTCATTAGTGAGTGATAAGCTCGAGAAAGTAAACGACTATTCGAGTGATCCCCGAAGAAATGTCTCAGATACATCAAACAGGCGGTGGGTGCTAAGTGAAAGTATGTAGCTCAAGAACGAATTGCCTAGCATAGCTACGCCAGACGCAAGGAAACATCCTAATAAAATCGCCAGCATGTGATGTAGAAGGCAGTACGGTCCGTAACGGCCCTATAAACAATAGAAAAAGGCTAAAGAACTCACAGACAGGAACAACGGCCAATTCAGCAAAGAGTAAAGACGAGTACGGGCAGCACAAGCCCTATAAGAAGATTATGAACAGCCTCGGAGGATGACGGTCACCAGCAATAAAGTAGCAAATAAGTGATACCCACACTATTTCCTCAGATGAATTTAGTTCACTCCTTAGCTTTTGCGGGAAAAATCTCATAGTTTTTTGCGTGAAAAGTCTTGAAATAGACAGTGAGTCGTTTGGTTTTTTTTTCTTTTTTTATGTGAGCCAAGTAGCCCATTAACTTTTTTTTTCTAGGTATGATTCGGGTGCAAAAACATTTTCGCAAATTCCAACGAAGCACCTCTCGGCAACAATCGATGGTTTTACGTTACAGGATCAGTATACGCAAGCTCCGAAGATTCCACACAGTGCCAGCAGTATGAGCAGGTAGTAGTCCAGCAGACCGGCCAGTACTACTTCTCTTCCTCTCCCTCCCAAATGGCAAATACTCTAAAGAAGATTGAACGGGATAAAAAGTAATTTCTTGTGAAAGTAGTAAGAAATGCAAAAATTTTTTCTCTCTGAATATTATATCTGTACACACATACACACACATGCCTTCTTCCCTCGTGTAGTTACTTCTTTCATTAAATTGAAAAAATTTCGCTTATTTTATTGTCTTTCGCATTTTGAAAAAGGGTAAAATTTGTTTTTTTTTTCTTTTGCTTCAATAAATTATACATGTTTTCTATGGGCTTTGTAAAAGTGTATTTCTGAGACAAAAAT